TCGGCTGTTTTCGAGCCCCGGATCAAATTTGGAGCAAGGGCGCCACATGGTGGATAAATAAAAAAATTACAATTCCAAGGCCTCTTGTCCAAAGCAAAAGCGAAACCTAAGCCGTAACCCAGATATTAACGGTCATAATTCTGCAGTGAAAAATAGCGTTTATAAAGGGTTTCAATGGGGCAGAAATCGGCCACGAGGTTCGATAGTGGATGTATGCCTTTTATTCAGCCATTTAAGCTCATTTTAAAAACTCCGGGTTAAGGAAGAAACTATCCAAAGAGGCCAAAGTGTATTTTTGTATGAGACTGTAATCATGTTTTTTTTCTGTTGTAAACATTTTTACATGGCAATCTATGGGGACTGATTCATTTGAAGACAGCCTCAAGTGGCCGCTAGAGGAACTGCAGTTTTGGCTTTATTTTTTCAGCCCGGAGTTTGTAGTTTAAAAAGCCCACTCCTGCTTCCAAAATAGCAAAGAAATTTAGAAAATCTCATAAAATTTTGTGTTCATGTAGAATTTCATCCTTCACAGCAGGAAGCCACCTGAGAAATGGCTAATGATTTGGTACGTCACAGTGTTTAGATGGACTGTTCTTTTATGCTCTCCAAAGTCTCAATCAATACCTTTATTGCTGAAGAGACCATAGCCGTGCCACCTGAGCCACAAACTAGGCATAAAGGTAAACCTGCAGGATCATAACCTGATTTAGCTTCAGAGCCCGGCGTCATTTGACAGAACAATCATTACCTAACGAGTTATTCCTTGACTCGCTTGTAGATGTAATATCAGCTGACTGCTTGCCCTTTGGTATCGTCCCACACTGTGATAGCCGACTGAATGATGAACGACTGTCTCATCATGAACAGTGTTGTAGCTGCAATGAGAAGCTTAACCAGCATGTGCAGCCTACAGAGGGTATTGATTTAGTGTTTTGTTACAGGCTGGGGGTAGCAGGGAAAAGCAGGGGGAAAAATGAAAGAGATGAACAAAGGATACCCACAGTCACATACAGGAGAAACGGAAAACATTTGGAGCAAAAACATCTGTAGAGGATTAAATTATCCTACTTTGGGCCACGTGACCCAAGTGAAACACAATGGTGGTCAGTTATCTGACAGTCTGCCCTGTAAAGTCTAAAGTTGTGTGTTAAAGTAATGCTCTGTGGTTCACATTTTAGATTAGCGAAAGATAAGAATTGTGATTGTGGAGGTGGACAGAAATGGGACACATGGGGCGATTGATTTTTGCATTGATTGATTGATGGTCCCGTTTTAATCATCGTTAAAATAATTTATAGCCAGTTGTCACCGTATAGTATATGAAACATATGAGCTGAGGGCCATAAATGTGACTGTACAGTGCAGAGACTGCTATATGTATATGCACAGTACTGTCAAACAGTTTTTTTAATATTTTGGGAAAATGTGAAATATGTGTAGCAATGACACATATATAAACATACATGGAAACACATGCCTATAGATGCCTATATTAGGCAAAAAAAAGTTTTATTATTCTAGCCCTGCGAGAGACTGTGCAGGGTGTACCCTGCCTCTCGCCCTAAGTCGGCTAATTTCTTTAAGTAGTCTTCAGAAATGGTTCTCAAGGACGTCTGAAGGTCATGCTGAGCTCTTCTTTGGATGTTTGCTGTTCGCTGCTTTAATAATGTTGAGGTCTGGGCTCTGGGCTTTTTCATCCAGGTGTGCTCTGGTTTCTTAGAGCCAAGTGCACTACATATGATTGAGTTATTGAGTTATTTTCCCCCCCCCCCCAAAAAAAAATAAATTGCATGATACATTTTTAAGCAAAAAAAAATGTCTGATGTTGCAAATAATACACAAATGTAAATTCAGATATGCAAATTATTAGTTCTTTTTTTGTAATTTTGCAATTATTACATTGTTTAGTCTTTAAAGGGTTGACAGCATGTTTGGGATCGTTGTTTTCTGGAGAATGAAGCTGCTGCCAATCAGAAACTTTCCGTGTTGTGTTGTATGATGTATCAAAGTCTGATTTTATTTTTCTGCATTCAGAATTTCATCAATTTTGAGAAGATCTCCAACACCACTGGCTGGAATACAGCCCCAAACCATGATAAAGTCTCCACTGTGTTTTACAGATGGCTGTAGACACTCAGCCGTACCTCTGTTGTTGCAGCTCTCTCCTGATCTCTTCTGTATTTACTGGCTGTGATTTTAGCCAAAAATCTCCCTCAATAATTTCTGTCACCACTGATTTTCAGTCCAGATCTTATCAGGTCTTTTTCATATTTCTTAAGGATCTGACTTTTAGATACTGTTCGTCTGCTGTGGATAGTCTCTTGTTTTTTTCTTAGGCCTGTCACTTCTTCTTTTTCTTTTCTCCTCCACTTCTTTCTCTTGACAATTTTAAATTGGTTCTATGCTAAGTTGTCTGTTATGTGCAGACACAACAGTGGTGCTTTTTATCCTTAAATAATTTATATCAAATTTAAGTGGCTTAACAAACATAAAGACATTCCTGTGAAAAAGGTCAGGTACATAGACTGGAAATGAGTGAAAAAGAAAAACAAAACAGCAAACAAAATATAAAGAAACAGGGGGTAGCTGAAGACTTTTGCACAGTACTGTCTGTGCATGTATTTAGACTCCTCCCAAAGAGGTCGGTTACCTTGTTAAAATGCTGCAGTCCCATTGCATAACACTGAATCCTGAAACTACAAATCACTGCAGTTTGACTCATTTCACTTCCTGAACGTCGGTCTTTCTTTCAAGTCTGTCAAAAGTGCTGAAAAAAGTTGAGGGTGAATTAAAAGGTAGAAAAATAGCCTATCACTCTGAAAATATTCACAGTATGAAGGTAAATAAAAATAAAGTCAGCTGATTCTGCAGCAGTCAGGTGGAGCGACCCACGAGGCAGCGTCTCAGTAAACAGCGTGAGCGTAAAAGAATTAAATCAGCTCAGCTGAACGACCAGTCGGCTGACAGATAATCATTCTTTGTTTTCTTTAATTCCTCGAGCTTATTGTTGTCGGTGTTGTTGTTGACAGGTGCGCTCAGCCGTGAGGAAGCGCTTCCACCGATGGCAGGAGCAGCACTCGATCCGAGCCAGGATGACCCAGGCCATGTCCATCCCCACTTCACCTTCACGGGTCAGCTTTCACAGTATCAAGCAGTCCACGTCGCTATGAAAGAGGAAACCAGCTTTGTCCTACATGCTCGCGCTTTGGGAGAAACCTCCAGCTGTCGTTGTCATCCTTTTCTGCCACATCACTGGAGTAACACTAAAACACTTTCTGCGGCTAGAGATCTAGAGAGAGGCTGCATCAGTCTCCTAAACCTCAGGAGGGACATTACACAGACTTTCAGGAGAAAATGGATGGGTACAGGCGGGAGAGGACATTGCAATGTTTGTGAAAATGGGAGGTTAGTGGATCAAAAAGATGCACGTGACCAAGCTGATGAGTGTGTACTGGAGTTTGAATGTACAGCACTTGTTTAATTGTCTGTCGTTTCCCCGCTGGCACTTTGTTTTTGCTAACATCGCCATCACGATTGAGGATTTATGCTCCTGGACTGCACCGAGCTGGATTCCATCTCAGCGGAGTCATGTGCTAGCAGGGGCCAGTGACTAAGTCGTTACTTATCCTGAGATTTTATTTTAAGTTTTTATTTTTCTCTCAAGCAGCTGTCTGCTTCTGGTGTTTGTTTATTTGATGTTGTGCTTTCTTCCTCTGTTCTCAGCTCGGTGCGCTCGTGCTGCTTTCATCGACTTTCCAGGAAGGTTAAACACATTCCATAATTCCTACCTGAAGAGTTTTGTTCCAGAAAAAACAGACACATTTACAGCTTTTACAGCTTTGAGTAACCTCCAAGTGACCCTCTGGGGACATTTATGACCCTACGTGTATATTTCTGTGACAACTTTAATTGTTTTCTGTAAGAAGTGGCCCATTGGGATGGCAGTGTTTGTCTTCTATTTACATTTTCCACCTTTTATTGCTGCATTGTGACAGTAACAGACTAAGAACAGCGTGATTTAGTGCTGCAGAAGCCCAATAATGCAATGAAAACAGCTCAGCTGATGGAGAAAATTCAGGTTAACTCCCATAATTTCTTACCTCTTAACACTTTAGAATATTGGTCATAGAGAAAGGAAACATAGTATGATGTTATAAAGATATAATCTAGCCTTTAAAACAATTTATTCCAGTATAGAATCTAATGGGGTCATAAATGACCCTACTCAGTCACTTTAGTGGCTATAGTAGCTCAGCTACCTGAGGTTTAAGGTTACTGTCAGTTAGTCTCACATCATTCGTCTCCTTTCTGAGCTCAGGTGACTTCTTAGTCGAGCACAAAGAGTGAAAGTGGAGGAAATAGCCTTTTACTGCAGAATAATTACATGGCTTAACTCTCGCTTAAAGCACAAGCTATGATGTGTATGTTTCTATTGATGTACAGATTAAACAGGCGGGTCGATACACGATAATTAGGGCGGTGTAGGGTGGCTGTGGTTGAGATGATGGAGGTATGTCCACTAATTGAATTTAAAAACCTCCTCCTCACATACAAAGTCCTGGATGATCAGGCCCCATCATATCTTAAAGTCCTCTGAGCACCGCATTATGCCAATAGAGCACTTCACACTCAGTGAAAAGAACCTTGAGACGACTGTTTCTGTGAACTGGCGCTATATATGTAGGATTTAATCTAACTGAATTAATTGCAGGGTTAGCTGTCCAGTCTTCAGCTCCCCCTATAATAAAACCCTGGACTGAAATGGCATGTGATAAAAATCTGCTGGATAAGCGAATTCCATTCAGCTTCATAAGTGCATATTTCTATATATAGCTAGCCTTTGCCCCTTTGACTACAGCTGCTGTGCCAAGTAAGGCTAATCACTTCCTGGCTTTAGCTCACATTGGGGCAAAATATGGTCAGAACGTCCCTACAGACCATTTCAATCTGACCCCAAACAGAGGAAAATTGAATAAGAATCATCACTCAAACATCTCAAGGTGATTGTCTGCTATGACTGTGTGTGGTTATCAAATGCTGACACAACATTTAGTTGGAATTTTCTTTTATTGTAACCTGTAACAATGGTTTCTATTCAGCTACAGAGACGTGTAGCCTTTCTTCTAATTTATCTTACTGATCATTTATGGTGCCCGTCTCTGCGCCTGCAGATCTGCCTCAGTAATAATTGGTAGAGGGGTTTGTGCCGATTTGACCTACTTTGGCCTGAGAGGTTGGCTGCATTCAGACCATCTCTGAATCACGTGTGATGACCTGAATTTGGCTAAGATGTAGATCTGGTTCAGCTTCAGACTCATTGGGACTCTTGGGTGTCTCTTTGGCTGTGATTTTACTCCTGGCACACTGGTTCTGGACCATTTTGAAGCCAGACCAGTTTGGATACATGTGTACTCAGAAAGTGCACACATGGCATATTTTGTTTTCTATACACACACACACACACACAGTAACCATGCATGTATCTCACATATTCTCATCATCTTATCCAAACTAAATTTACCTAGAAAGAATAAACCTTTGTGGGCAGAAAAACAATATTAACATTAGAAAGTTAATGTGGCAACATACATTCAATTCTAGATATAAGAAAGACTTTTTTTTTAATTAACCCACTTTCAAAAGATCAAATGTTTAATTATTTAATTGAGAAATAATTAGTATAATACCTGTGAAACTATTTATATTTTCTCTCTGGCACTTACCTCTAGAAAAACATAAGTCTAAGCATAAGAGAAGCAGCTACTAAATGCTTCACTGTGTTCACCAACTCTGTTTGTTTACATCTGAAAGAAACAAAAGAAACAGAAAAACCAAAAGAATCAGAATATTTAAAACCCCAAACTATGACCTGAAAGTTGCTCAAAAAGAGATTTTTAGAGATGTAACCACAGGACCAGTGTGAGTGACAGCATGTTTCACATTACTTGGACACACAATACATTTAATTTTGTGGCACTTTAAATCAAATTAAGCGTTGTGTTAGTTCAGGTCACGAAGTGATTAAAGTCTCTGCGGCATCCCGCGTGGTTTTCTTTTACACATCCTGTTGGTTAAACTTCTCAGAGCCCACAGTTTCACTCCTTCAGCCTGCATGTAGTTGCTGTGAATCTGCAAGCCACTTTGCAACCAGTCATGTCATGGAAAGATTCTGCGTTAGTGGTCCTTTTAGTGCAGAGACTTTCACAAAGTATAAAAACTGTGCAGTGAGAATGAGTGGACCACGTGTTCAGCAGTTCCTTTATTGCTTGTAAGTTAGTTAGTTGTTATATTTTTTACTTGTCAGGGACCAGACACAAAAGGATTGAACTCATATGAGAAAAGATGCCTTATACTGGATTTAGCTACAAGCACTTTAAATACACACAATATTAAACAAGCCTATACTACAAATGCAGATAAGAACTACAAGATAATCAAATGTACAAGCTTCTTCTTCTTTAGTGGATCATCTGCTTCTGTTTCACTCTTTCTGTAGCATCCACCTCTGTCACATGACCCCCCTCACAACACCCATGAATCTTCACTGCAGTCTGTGCTGTTCGTCCTGCCTGGCAGCTGCCCTGTCCGGACTCCAAACACCTCAATCTGATGTACTTATTTCTAATCCTTTTCATGCTGGATTCTTCTAATGATAAGTACAGTTTCCACCGGCACCCTGTTAGCCAACAGCATCAGGGGTGGTCATTTATCCACCCCGGACCCTGACTCATTATGAGTCACGTGTTTGATTCGACTGCCCTTTCTGACGCAACCCATCACATTTATCTGGGCTTGGGACAGGAAGTACGCAGTGTTGTGCTCGGCAGTGGCAGCAACAGGTATAAATGACCACAGATATGATTTCAACTGAGTCGAAAATAACAAGAAAGCTGGGAGAGAAGGTGGGTTGTAAAGCAGCTTTTACATGTCCAAAGTGCTATGCTCAAAGTGTCACCCATTTGAAAGCAAACCAAGTTAAAATTATCAGTCAGAATTTAGTTTAAAAAAAAGGAATAATCTTTATAGAAAGCAAATGAAATGATCATGTTTTACAAGTTTTAGTCAGACCACCGCCTCCTCCGATGGTCTTTGTGGAACAAAACTCTTCAGCTGATCAAAGAGACTTAATAGATCGACTCGACCAGCAAGCAAAGGGTTCCTCCATCCAGGGTGGTGTTTATACTCATTCACACCTTTCTGTGGCGTTCGATTGACTTGAACACTTGCAGTAACTGTATTTACTGATGACCTGTAAATATATAAATATCAGAGGTGAGTGTGATGGGAGGGGGCTTTAAAATCCACGAATAGAAACCAAAAACACAAACCACACACTGTAAATCATATGGGCACATTTTCCATGTGATCAGCAATTCACAGTCCACATTCCTTTGATACCAGTATGCCTAGCACCTGTGCATTTTTATGAGAAAATTGTATATGAACCTTTTCTTTTCGTCACCCTATTACTATAATTTTTTTTACCCCTTGTAAGTGATGTGTGAGCTCTGGTTGTGATAAAAAAAAAAAAAAGTCAAATTATTTTAAGTAATTGAGTTTTACATGATGCTGATCATCACTTGTAACAGAGCAGCTGCTTTCAGCTTGATTCCAGCCTTTTGTGGTGGAGAAAATTCAAATTAAACGAAAGAAACGTGTAGTCGTCATGCAATTGTGCTAGGAATTTTCAAAATAAAGGTTTTACATCAGCAAGAATAAGAAATATAGAAACCATGCAAAGAGAATCTTCATCGTTTTGTGGTACGTATACGGTGGTCAATGAAAAATCACAATGTCATTCAAATTATTATTTATTGTTATTTATTTTCAATATTGTTATTTTCATACTTGAAAAAAATGTCAAGCGATAATAAACTGTGTGTTGCATTTGACTGAATGAAAAATTGAAGAGATTTATTTATAGACCAGTTTTTCTGAAAACAAGCCTGTAAAAAAAAAAAAAGACACCATTACCCGCGATGGAGACTCCGGATCACACAGCCATTTGTCTCCACAGTCCCCCGAGACGAAAGCAAAGAAAGAAAACACATCCTGAGTATCGTGTGATCCTCTTAAGCTTTGTGTGTGAGTCTCGAAGGGGAGCACAGCCCAAATCTGGCTTTTAAATAAGATCCTTCTGCCCAAGTGAACATTCACCATTTTCTGGGTATGAGAAGGGAGGGGTCTTTGTGTGTGCACTAAAACACAAAGAAAGGACCACAGAAATCGACTTTAACAGTATTCACCATGATGCACTATTGCTTAATTGAATGCAAACGCTTAAAGAGAACAGGAAGGTTAGTCGTTGCCTGCGGAGCGGCTTTTGGGGGGACGATTACTCTGTCATCTCATGGATTCACTCTTCCACTCAGGGCTTCTAGCTTTGGGAGAGTTACTCATATTCGCAGTTCCAGATAAAACTACAGTCAGCATGATTCAATTTCCTATTCTCATTACTTCTTGTCATGATTACATAATGACTGTTTGTTTATGTGGAGAAGCATCAAAGTGTTGTAGTAAACAAGTTTGGGCCTTTTTCTTACATGTGCACAAATTTACAGTTTATGGCATAAACACTGGAAAACAAATGAAATTCTGTGAAATATGAGACATGAGTACATTATAGACTGTATACAAAAGATGGACGTGGCCACTGTGACGTCATACATTGGTTTCTGAAATCCTGTTTTCAAACCTTGACTTTAGGATTTTGCTCAATAGCAGGTTGTTGCTTTTTGAGGGTGGAGTACTAAATTATTAACTAATGCTAGTAATGTTAGCAATATAGGCTAAAGAAAGAACATCACACGCACAGCGGTGCTTGCTAGCTAGTACCATTACAACAAAAATAATATAATTTAACTCACCTATATTGGAGTAATAGACCTTTTGGACAGTTGGTAGAATTAGGGACACCACACAGTCAGTTTATTATTCACACTATTTTTGTCTGCATGTTTTAGTATTCTTATTTCCTATCATCCTTGCCATCTGACAAGGATGTCCCCTGGGCGCCTCCTGGGTGAGGTGTTCCAGGCATGTCCCACCGGGAGGAGGCCCCGGGGCAGACCCAGGACACGCTGGAGAGATTATATCTCTCGGCTGGCCTGGGAACGCCTTGGTGTTCCCCCGGATAAGCTGGAGGAGGTGGCTGGGGAGAGGGAGGTCTGGGCCTCTTTGCTTAGGCTGCTGCCCCCGCGACCCAGCCCCGGACAAAGCGGATGAAGATGGATGGATATTTCCTATCATGTTGGTTTTTTGAAGCAAACAATACAAGTGGAAGTCTTGGAGTCCTTGGTGCAAAATGGCACCAAGTATCCTGCACACCATTGTGTGCAGGATACTTGGTGCCTGAGAGTTTATTTGTGCTGTAAAGTTTGACATTCTAACATGGTAGTCTATGGGGATTGGCAGGCTTATGGAGACAGCCTCGAGTGGTTATTGGAGTTTTTCTTTAGGTATTTCTATAGAGATTGACAGACCACGTGACTTTCGCACATTGCATGCCGGGAACTCGTAGCAAAACAATCCAAGTACCGCATCAAACGCAAGCATTTGCAGCACCGCAAAACATTCATTCTCCAGTTCCAATACCTTCTTGGTTTTTCTTTGCCTCCCAAAAAAGTTATGTACAAAACGAAGGAGAACAATGCCGGTCCGTACAAAGACAGACTCGACGAAAAGGCAAAGAAAAGATACGAGGAAAAAATCAAAGGAGTGAAAGGGTCAGACCCTTACGAGCACGCAGAGGGACAAAAGACGTTAGCGTGCTGCCCACTTTCACCACGCTCATATTTATAATTATACGGTTCTTGGAGTGAGTGCATACACTCATGAAGTTTAGTAACTTCAGGTCACTGCAACAAGCCCAGGTACAGTTTACCGACGGATGGGTACAGGAGCTTGAAATGCACCGTGTAGAATGAAAGACCATCGTACGAACAGAGGTAAGTTTACCAGTCTCACAAATCGTCGTCATAAATACACATTCGTTAACCGTTTATTAATAGGACCTTTGAGCTCAACGGTAATTAATTAGTAGTGGAAATAATTTCTGGTAGCATCACAGAAATGTAGCAGTGACAATAATACTGTATGCTGTAATCGTACTGGGCAATTAGTGATACAAAACAACTGTTTTATCCTGTGAATAAAAGTATATGTTTTTGTCAATGTACCATAATAACAGAAGCGAAACGCAATATTGTGTCAGGACAATTCACTATTTATGCACAATAAATAAAGGAGCATAGCGCGACAATTTCTGTTCAGCGCCAGACTTGCTTGTAACCTATATCACCAATTATGTTAAGAAAAATGACGTATTAACTACAACAAACTGACCTTTGTGGAAATGCTTGGAGCAGACTAACCTGTGAGCTGGAGTGTTCTGGGACGTTATATTTGGTCTTTGAATGGCTGCAATCCAGGCCATCCGTCGCCTCTTTGTTACTTCGGAAACATGGCTGAACAATTTCTCTTCAACGACGTAATCCGATAACAACCGATCTCTTTACCCGTCGGCTTCCCGTGGCTGTCATGCGACCGGCTATTGCAGTTAATAATACAACAGCTTCTTGACATTTTTGTGTTTCTTTTTATCGCTGTGTGACTGATTTCAATTGAAAGCCTGCGTGCGCTAGTACCTCTTGCCACGAGTTCCCAGAATCCTTTGCGGTTTTAGCCCTGATTTTTTTAATTAAAAATACAGCGTAAAGCTTTCATAGTAGGAAGACTCCAAACAGACAGGAAAAAGTCCAAAAAGCCAAATCCTCATTCCAAAAAATGGTGGTCATGCACTGTGGTCAGGTAGGCAGCATGCACGGCAAACCAGCTGAGGAGCATAAAAAGGCAAACATCCATTAAGCCGGTTCAAAAGGACATAAAGCTGCTGCAAATTTTGACTGCAAAGAAAACAAGATGAGTTTGGGCAAACCCGTGTGTGGCTTTTCCCGTTTTTAAATAAAATTAAAACATCATACCTGGAAGAACTCTTTGGATCTGGAAGCATAAAAGTGTTCAGCAAACCAATGTTTACCCTGTTTTACTTGATGAGGTTTTGTGAGCCTTTGCCAGTTAAGTCAAAGGCTCACAAGATCATCCATCACCTGGAATATTTCCATCTAACAAGTGAGCCTTGTCAAAAATTAGCTGGCAGGATTTCTTGACTTCTTAATTAGACCATTAGTCAGCAAACAGCCCTGTTCTACTTCTAAAGTAATCAATGTTATGGCAAGAGCCACTCAGCAAAATAAAGACACGCACCAGTGCATCTTTACTGAAAGACTTCAGGGTAGGTCCATCCAGAAAATTGAATGCGATAATTTCTTCAAGTACAAAACGGCATCAAACTCTGTGATTCTCATGAGGACCGCTTCAGGAAAAGAGGACCAACAGTTCAGCACAGTTACAGAAATCAGCAGTTAATAACACTTCAAATGAGAGCCCTTGTCAAATGCTCCCCAGAGCTCAACATCAGAAAACTGTGTGAATCAGGCCTTCACGGAGGAGAGGAGCGAACTGCTGGGACCAGAAAGCACATAGACAGAACATCAGAGCAGAGACTTTCGGTTTCAGCTTTGTCTTTCTGAGAGGCAGAAAGAGGTAAACCGATAATTACAAAGGAGTATTAGGGCCACGTTAAGAAAATAAATATATTATTGATCACGTTGAGAATGAAGTTGAAATGTGGAGATTAAAGTTGTTGTATCAAATTGTCTTGGGTAGATGAGGTGGTGAAATCGTACTTCAGGATCAGTAACAAGAAAGGAAATTATTTTTCCTTAAGCACATGAACACAGTGGTAAGTATGAGGACACTGAAAGAAAAACCCTCACAAACTTGAAACAGCTGCCTGGATTGATACAAAATGAAATGGCTGCCAGTGGACAGATGCAAGGATAGAGACGGTTGCACTCTTGTGCAATAAAGAGGGTGTATGTTGTATCACAAGACACGATAAGGCAGCTGATCAGTTTGCTTCACTAACTCATCTACACGGGACGTTTTGTAGAGGCAGGCACGGCAGTTGTTACACTTGAAACTTGAAGCCTCCTTAAATGTATCGTTCCACAATTTACCCCAAAATTCTTTTATTCTTGTTATTTTTTTCATTTCTCCTGAAACAAAACTATGATTTATACCTTTGCTTATTATAATCTCACATATTCAATTCCTACACTTTCAAATAAGCACAAGTGGGAATCTGTCTCAACCTTTCACAACAAAAGAACTGGAGGACAATCGATAGCTCTGCATGTCTGCCACTTTCTGAATTTAAACCGTGCCAATCACATTGTGGGTCAATAGGTAATTCTGTGCAGCCAGAAATCAATCAGACTTTGAGAAGTTTAATACCAATTGAACTGGAGTCTCGAAAGTCTCCATAGATGTTGGGATTTGTGTGAAATCATATTACATATGGCTCCAGTGAAAGGCTGGATAAATGATGTCAGACACTGTTTGCCGTATTGGAATGTGAAGAGTTTAGTCATCTTGCATCTTAAAGGAAAACAAAAGTGTACATTACCCAGATGACCCTGGGAGCTTTGTCCCATCTCGGGGGTGCATTTATATGCATGAGAGGTAAGTTCATAACACAGTTAGGAAAAGCACCCGCAGTCCAGATGTAAACAATATAACTTTGTTAAGCTCATTTTCCAGTGAATGACTTCAGCTTAGACCAATATTAAAATGCTTCCTGTTGTGTTTAATCACCTTACTCCTGATGCTTTTGGACTTCGCCTGTTAATAAGTCAAAAATATGGACCACACTTACACCGATGTATAAGTTCATTTCTTTAACCCTCATGTGACCAAGTTGTTTTAGTGAGTGAAATTACTGAAGGAGGTCATGTATGAGCTCATTATAATTTAATTAAGAATGGCTTTTGATTGGTTCTGTGTGTGCATTTAAAAACAACTCCAGTGTGATGTAAATTCAACCTTTGAGAGCCTATAAAACCTAAGCCAAGGTACAGGTGCCAAAAACTGCAGTTCCTCTAATGGCCTCTTGAGGCTTGCTCTAAAAGTGAGTCAGTCCCCCATGTTAAAATGTCCAAATTTACAGCAGAAATAAACATGTTTACAGCCTTGTGCAAAAAGCATTTTTGGCCTCCATGGATAGTTTTCACCCTCATAAATACTTTATAGCTGTAAGGGTTTTTTGTTAACTCACCCACATGGATAATGGTAAGGCTTAAAGTTGGGAATGTGGTTGCTTTCATTAGCAGTTAGCTGTAGCTGATCTGTGCTTTCTAAGCCCAACCTACGCTAACTGTAGCCCCCAAACTGGAACTTTTGACTGTGCTTATGCTGTTGGTGACCATGGTGACCATATCTGAGCATTTTAATTGAATTATCTGATAAAATAATGGAGTCTGGTGTGTTGAAAACTCTTCAGTTATTTTAAGTCAAGCAAGCTATCTCCATCTTTTATGTACAGTCGACACTAAACACTGAAGTTGTTCAGCGAACTCATAATTCATATTAAATAAAGTAAAAGAGACCCATCGTCATCAAATATAGTGTTGCATCTCCAAGTAAAGTTTTAGCATTTTTCCTACTCTTTTGTGACTTTTTTAGGAATGGATGTGTTATCGGTATTGAGATGAGCATTTGCATAATGTTCATCTTTGCACAGATGGAGCGGTCTGCTGTCTCATACCTGTATTACCTTCAGACTGAATCCACAGACTCTGAGAAAACTAAAAATATCGTTGAGAATAAGAACAAGAAAAACTTTCATATCTTCCCCCAAAGGGAAACGTCTCTGTAACTGCTGGAAAAAATTGTGGAAGCTGTTCTAAAATTAAATTGAAAAGGATCTAATTACAATTTATAAATTAAAATTCAGCAGAAAAAAACAGTACTGCTGATGAAATTGGACTTTCTGTGAGGAGTCTTTGACTGCTCTTCTGGGTGTGAGATGGATTTTAATGAGCATTTTTCTGTTCATTAGTATTATAGATGAAAATATCCTTTTAATGAAGAATATGCTGCAGAGCGGTGTGAGAAAAGTGATTATACAGAGTTAAATCTACCTAAAGAGGCGT